CAATGATGATCGTAAAATTGAAATGGATTGAGGGATATATTCTATGTTTGTAGTAATCTAGTTCAGTTTGATCTCATGTAATACAGGTGCATTTTTTATTTGTCTCAGAATTGTTATCATACTAATTGGACAATCCTTTGGTTAAACTTTCTCTAACTTACTTGTACAAGTTGGAAGAGATCCGTTTAGTTGTCCATTTACGCCACAACTTGTAGTATCATCTCCTGCAAAGAGATATCCCTCAGCGCATCCAAACGTACATTCAGTTGACCAATCAACATTGGAGTTCGAATCACATGACCCAATGAGAGGCCAAGTATAGTTCCATACGGGACATGTAATGACTGAAGGAAAAGAGAGAGGGCTAATAGTTATAATGCATTTTAAACGTGACAAATTTACTAAAATAATGCTATTAGTCGTAAGAATAGTGGTTCTATCCAAAACTTTGTTCAAACAACCTGTACAGATGAGACCACATGAAATTAATTCCTTTTTTCTTCGTGCTCTTCCCCCTTTTTTGTCTGCCCTCCACATTTTCTGAGAATCTGGACGAGACTGGCCATGGACGTCTTTGCAACATCGTCAATATATGTTTTCAGTGAAAACGAAGTACTCCTTCTACATTGTTTTAATTGTCGAGATAAAAACAACTTAGGTTAATCGAATCGGACCTTAGAGGCGCTGCTTAAAGTATTATCCTTTTCCGATTATTTAAGGTGACAAAATTACTCGTTCCTTTGAGGATGCAGTCTTTGGAAAACCTTACTACTGCATTAGCTACATTGTACATTAGAGTACGCTTTCAACAACAAGTAATTTCTGTTATGACTTTACTTACTCTCACATCCAATTTGATCAGATAGTTCACCGTTGGACTGGCAATAGACAGTTGAGCTCCCAACCAGATTATATCCAGTAGGACAGGTAAAATCACACTGTGTATCCTCGGTGATGTTTATTCCTGCAGGGCACGCATTGTTGATATTCGTTACCAGCGACGTGTAGTTTACCTGGCAAGTAACTAAATAAATACTTACAAACATGAATTTGTATTCAGTACATTATTTGACGAGTAAAAATTAAAGAGAAAACTTTTCACAGAGGGGTAACGTATTGTCCGTTTACTTTATCATTTAGTTGTCAATGATGATCGTAAAATTGAAATGGATTGAGGGATATTTTGGTTATATTCTATGTTTGTAGTAATCTAGTTCAGTTTGATCTCATGTAATACAGGTGCATTTTTTATTTGTCTTAGAATTGTTATCATACTAATTGGACAATCCTTTAGTTAAACTTTCTCTAACTTACTTGTACAAGTTGGAAGAGATCCGTTTAGTTGTCCATTTACGCCACAACTTGTAGTATCATCTCCTGCAAAGAGATATCCCTCAGCGCATTCAAACGTACATTCAGTTGACCAATCAACATTGGAGTTCGAATCACATGACCCGATGAGAGGCCAAATATAGTTCCAAACAGGACATGTAATGACTGAAGAGAAAGAGAGAGAGGCCAAATTTTGAGTTCGAATGCAATATATATACGTGACAAATTTGGGGATGCAGTCTTCGGAAAACTTTTCTACTGCAGTAACTACATCGTATATTAGAGTACACTTTCATTAATAAGATTTTTTAAAAAGCTTGGGTAAATTGAACTGGTCTGTAAAAGCGCTTCTTAAAAGATGAGGTGTCCACATCTTTATCTTCAAAGTACTATCCTTTTCCGATTAGGGTGATTAAAAATTACTCGTTCCTTTGGAGGTGCAGTCTCCGGGAAACCTTACTACAGCAGTAACTATATTTTACATTAGAGTACACTTTCATCAATAAGTAATTTCTTTTACTTACTCTCACATCCAATTTGATCAGATAATTGACCATTGGACTGGCAATAGACAGTTGAGCTCCCGATCAGATTGTATCCAGTGGGGCAGGTAAAATCACACTGTGTATCCTCGGTGATGTTCACTCCTGCAGGGCACGCATTGTTGGTATTAGTCACCGGCGAAACGTAGTTCACCTGGCAAGTAACTGGAGAAATATTGAAATACGTGAATGAAAATCATTAAATCATATGAAAAGTATAATTTAAAGGGAGAACTTTTACTGTGGTGTTACTTATTTTCCGTTAATTCTTAAATTTGGGTGTCAATGATGATCTTAAAATCAAAATGGAATAAGGGATATTTGGGGAATATGCTCTGATTTAAGTAATCAAGTTTAGGTTGATCTCATGTAATACAGGTGCATTTTGTATTTGTCTCAGAATTGTTATCATAGTACTAATTGGACAATCCTTTGGTTAAACTTTCTCTAACTTACTTGTACAAGTTGGAAGAGATCCGTTTAGTTGTCCATTTACACCACACCTTGTAGTATCATCTTCTGCAAAGAGATATCCCTCAGCGCATCCAAACGTACATTCAGTTGACCAATCAACATTGGAGTTCGAATCACATGACCCAATGAGAGGCCAAGTATAGTTCCATACGGGACATGTAATGACTGAAGGAAAAGAGAGAGGGCTAATAGTTATAATGCATTTTAAACGTGACAAATTTACTAAAATAATGCTATTAGTCGTAAGAATAGTGGTTCTATCCAAAACTTTGTTCAAACAACCTGTACAGATGAGACCACATGAAATTAATTCCTTTTTTCTTCGTGCTCTTCCCCCTTTTTTGTCTGCCCTCCACATTTTCTGAGAATCTGGACGAGACTGGCCATGGACGTCTTTACAACATCGTCAATATATGTTTTCAGTGAAAACGAAGTACTCCTTCTACATTGTTTTAATTGTCGAGATAAAAACAACTTAGGTTAATCGAATCGGACCGTAGAGGCGCTGCTTAAAGTATTATCCTTTTCCGATTATTTAAGGTGACAAAATTACTCGTTCCTTTGAGGATGCAGTCTTTGGAAAACCTTACTACTGCATTAGCTACATTGTACATTAGAGTACGCTTTCAACAACAAGTAATTTCTGTTATGACTTTACTTACTCTCACATCCAATTCGATCAGATAGTTGACCATTGGACTGGCAATAGACAGTTGAGCTCCCGATCAGATTGTATCCAGTAGGGCAGGCAAAATCACACTGTGTATCCTCGGTGATGTTTATTCCTGCAGGGCACGCATTGTTGGTATTCGTTACCAGCGACGTGTAGTTTACCTGGCAAGTAACTAAAGAAATACTTAAACACATGAATTTGTATTCAGTACATCATTTGACGAGTACAAATGAAAGGGAAAACTTTTCACAGAGGGGTAACGTATTGTCCGTTTACTCTGTCATTTAGTTGTCAATGATAATCATAAAATCGCAATGGAATAAGGAATATTTTGGTCATATACTCTGTTTGTAGTAATCTAGTTTAGGTTGATCTCATGTGATACAGATCAATTTGTATTTGTCTCAAAATTGTTATCATACTTATTGGACAATCCTTTGATTAACTGTTCTCTAACTTACTTGTACAAGTTGGAAGTGATCCGTTTAGTTGTCCATTTACGCCACAACTTGTAGTATCATCTCCTGCAAAGAGATATCCCTCAGCGCATCCAAACGTACATTCAGTTGACCAATCAACAGTAGAGTTCGAATCACATGACCCGATGAGAGGCCAAGTATAGTTCCATACGGGACATGTAATGACTGAAGAGAAAGAGAGAGATGACACATTTTGAGTTCGAATGCAATATATACGTCACACATTTACTCAAATAGCGCTATCGGTCTTAAGAATTAGTTCTACTATCTATTACTTTCTTCAAACAACCTGTACAGATTAGGCCAAATTATATTAATTCCTTTTTCGCCCTCTCCCCCTTTTTTCTGCCCCCCCCCCCCTCATTTTTTGAGAACCTAGAAGAAAATAACCATGGACGTCTTTGCAACATCGTCAATATATGTTTTCAATGAAAACGAAGTATTCCTTTATAACAATTGTTTCATTTGTTCAGATAAAAACAACTTAGGTGAATCGAACCGGTCCGTAGAGACACTTCTTAAAAGATGCGGGTGTCCATATCTTTATATTCAGAGTACTACCATTTCCCGATTAAGGTAACTAAAAAGTACTCGTTCCTCTGGGGGTGCTGTCTTCGGGAAACCTTACTACTGTAGTAACTACATTGTACATTAGAGTACACCTTCATCAATAAGTATTTTATTTTACTTACTCTCACATCCAATTTGATCAGATAGTTGACCATTGGACTGGCAGTAGACAGTTGAGTTCCCGATCAGATTGTATCCAGTAGGACAGGTAAAATCACACTGTGTATCCTCGGTGATGTTTATTCCTGCAGGGCACGCATTGTTGATATTCGTTACCAGCGACGTGTAGTTTACCTGGCAAGTAACTAAAGAAATACTTACAAACATGAATTTGTATTCAGTACATTATTTGACGAGTAAAAATGAAAGAGAAAACTTTTCACAGAGGGGTAACGTATTGTCCGTTTACTTTATCATTTAGTTGTCAATGATGATCGTAAAATTGAAATGGATTGAGGGATATTTTGGTTATATTCTATGTTTGTAGTAATCTATCTGGCAGTAGACAGTTGAGTTCCCGATCAGATTGTATCCAGTAGGACAGGTAAAATCACACTGTGTATCCTCGGTGATGTTCACTCCTGCAGGGCACGCATTGTTGGTATTAGTCACCGGTGAGGTGTAGTTTACCTGGCAAGTAACTAGAGACATACTCTAAAATTTGAATATTATTCAGTACATCATTCGACGAGTAAGGATGATTGAGGAGAACGTTTACAGTGTGTAACCTATTGTTCGTTCACTCTTTTATTTAGGTGTCAATGATCATCTTAAAATCGAAATGGAATAAGGAATATTTTGGTAATGCAATGTTTGTATTAATCTTGATCAGGTTACTCTTGTTGATACAGGTAGACTTTTTATATGTCTTTGAATTTCGATCATACTAATTGCACAAACCTCTAGTGAAATGTACTCTAACTTACTTGTTCAAGTTGGAAGAGATCCGTTTAGTTGTCCATTTACGCCACAACTTGAAGTATCATCTCCTTCAAGGAGATATCCCTCAGCGCATCCAAACGTACATTCAGTTGACCAATCAACAGTAGAGTTCGATTCACATGACCCAATGAGAGGCGAGGTATAGTTCGAAACAGGACATGTAATGACTGAAGTGAAGGAGAGAGAGTAAAAATATGTTTTGTAGTCCGATAACATCAATCTCGTATCAAATGCGTTAAAATAGTGAAGTAAAAATGAAGAAAATGTATTTTACTCCAGAATACACTTCTATCAATAAGTAATTCCTTTTACTTACGCTCGCATCCAATTTGATCAGATAGTTCACCGTTGGTCTGGCAATAGACAGTTGAGCTCCCTACCAGATTGTATCCAGTAGGACAGGTAAAATCACATTGTGTATTCTCAGTGATGTTTGTTCCTGCAGGGCACGCGTTGTTGGTATTAGTCACCGGCAAAGTGTAGTTAACCTCGCAAAGAACTGGAGAGAATAGAAATCGAGTCGAATGACAAGTGAGATTCAAAAAAACAATTTCTGTTGCAATGGACCTAATGCCATTTCTATATACAGAAAGAGAATGGAATATCAAATAACATTTAAACCCCCCTCATTTCTTAAATATTCAGACGGGAAAGTAGGAATCAAGTTTACCTGACCAACCCTCGATCATTAGGCTACGTCTTTACAATATCGTCATTTTCTCTGTGCAGTTTTGATGACCAAGAAGTACAGGTTACGTTGTATGTGTGTCTTTGTGTATTTTTTCTAACTGGTCAGATCTGAGAAGGTACGAAAGTCAAAACAGTCTGTAAAAACCGGTAAAAACTTATACCATTGATAAGGTGCTAAAATTTACATTTGAAAGCATTTTGACATTCTGCTTTTTAGTTACCCCCAAAAGATACTCATTACTTTAGGGCTGCACTCCTTGAGATATGTTTATACTGCAGTAACCAAATTGGGGTCAGTTTAAATACTGTAATCATTAAGACATTTCTTTTATAATTTTACTTACTCTCGCATCCAATTTGATCAGATAGAAGACCGTTGGACTGGCAATAGACAGTTGAGCTCCCGACCTGATTGTATCCAGTAGGGCAGGTAAAATCACATTGTGTATTCTGAGTGATGCTCATTCCTGAAGGGCACGCATTGTTTGTATTACTCAGGGGTGGACTGTAGTTTACCTGACAAGTAGCTGGACACAGTTTGAACACATAAATGAAAATAAAAGTTGAAGTTTTTCGCATTTTTCTTGGAAACTGCAAATTTGGAGGGCAATTTTCGCATAGTTGGTCAGTGAAAGGGATATTACTTGAAGTATCTAAATCCGAAGAGGAGTGTGGGTTTGCGCAGGCATAATGGAGCTACGGCCACAGAAAGAAAAACAATAGAACTTTATAGAAGCGCTATTTATATCGTGCATGACTATTGGAGCGTGACATTTGGCGAGGACGTGTGCTATGATACGATTGACTTTACTGCGAATTTGAGACAGAACAGAATTTGTATGAGAAAGTTAAGGCAATTAGCGGTTTTTAGGTGTCATTTTTAAAGAATATTTGAGGTTTTTGACGGAGTCGATTGGATGCGAATTTAAAATAAAAGTATAAAGATGACATCTTTGATGGGCAGGTTATACGTCGTAGATGAAAGAACGTGTATTATGGACCCGGCCCGGCCCCCTCTCCACCCCCCCCCCTCCCCCCCCCCCCCACCCGGGATCAGAATGACCGCATGCGCGTTCCTAAAATGTCCGGTAAAGGGGTACTTTTCACGCACCAAAGTCCGGCTCGTACATACACAAAATTGATTTTACACACCGGACTTAGGGGTGTTTTCAACAGTGGCGGATCCAGGGGGGGCCCGGGGGGCCCGGGCCCCCCCCCCCCCCCCCCCCCCTTGAGAAAAAAATCATGTAAAATCACGTGATTTTTACCTTTTTTGGGGGTTGGGCCCCCCCCCCCTGGCGCTCAAGGGGGGGGTGCAAATTGAAATTTTTTTGAGGATCAAAAAAAAAAAATGTGCTCACTACCCCCCCCCCCCCCCCCCCCCCCCCCCCCCCCCCCCCCCCCCCCACTGAGCGAATTTTTGGCCGGCGCGTTTTTCAAATTTTCGGAGCAAAAAAAAAAAAAAAAAAATTGTGCTCTGTACCCACCTCCACCTCCCCCCCCCCCCCCCCACTGAGCGACTTTTCGGCCGGCGCGATTTTCAAATTTTCGGGAGCAAAAAAAAAAAAAGTTGGGCCCCCTCCCCTAAGAAATCCTGGATCCGCGCCTGGTTTTCAAAAGGTGGGAACATGCATATGCGTACCCGAAATAACACTGAGTGGGGGAGCGGGCTTATGGACTATCTAGAGGGATTTGTTAGAAGTCTGTATCATCAAGGATAGTGGAGATACGAAGCGGGAAGAAAGGAAGTTCCTAAAACGGACAAGAAAGGGACAACATTGTCCCTGGACAGTCACACAAGTACATGAGTGATTTCCAAAAACGAAGAATCAGATGACCTAGATTGGATGACGGAGAATACGCAATTGAAATTTGAAAGGACCTGGATAGGAAACACAAGCAGTTCGTGCAAAACGAATGAGACCACTGGGTTATAGTTACGTAAGTCGATTTTATATGAGTTGTTGTTCTTCTTGCATACATGTGATAATCTTCAACTCTGCTGTTTTCATTCATCGTTTTCTTTATGTTGTATTTGCCGAATAAACAATAATAACACCAATATAATAGGGGTGGATTTACAGTTAAAAGCGCCCCCTCCGGCAAGCTGTGACATGCCGATTGTTTAGGTTGCTGGAGACCGTAATACTCGAAACCGTCATAAGTCGAAGTTCGTGGACATCCCATAGAAACGCGTGTTAATTATATTATACAAGTTTCAACAGGATTATTTATTTATTTATTTATTCAAGTTTTATTTAAAATAGAGGGTAGGTACATTCAGTTTACCAAAACTGCTTTCCAAGTACGCCCTCTATGGACAAAGGATGTCCATGAACTTGTGGCGGTTCCGACTAACGACCCCCTGGTCGACGTCTTTCAAATAGTGCATCGCAGCAAAACGGCTAGCCTGTGATCGAAATGACCAAAGTGGTCCGAACTGCGTAAATATATTCAATGGGATTGATATTTCTGATATCAGCGCACATATTTTGGTTCGGTTATTAAGATCACTGATTTAATAACCCGCTCTTACCTTCGTAACTCCCCCTAATGCCAATGTTTAATGTGATTTGAGATGAAGGAAAAAGTGATGTTTAGTTCTCTTTGCACAAAATCCATGTTCTCATTTGATTTAATGCCATTAGTCATAGTAGCTGAACAAGATATCAAACACCATCATCATTACCGTGTTATATTTTTTTTTATAAATGTATGCAAGACAACGTCAACATCACAACGGAATCGGATGCAGAAAGTGATAAATTAAAGGGGTTTGACCGTATCCGTACTAATTTAAAAAAATCATTGTAATTTGGAGTCTGAACAAACGGATTGTATTGATACCATCATATCATACCTGTAGCAGGGAATTTTAAATCAAACGTATTGATGTTCCTTTTTATTTAATTGATTGACAAATGATTGGAACATAATTCCTTATAATACCGTAACCGTGTAACGGCGGGATGTAATCTGTTCAACTTAATACTGTGAAAACCCGCACTGAACATCGATATACATGAGAACAATGGTATCTAAGTTGACAAACTCTCTATGAATGTATTTGAGGATTCCGCCATATAACAGGCAGGGGCAGCGTTTCCAGGGGACGGGGGACACGTCCCCACCCCTACCCCCTCTCAATTTGTTAAGGGGAGATCCTCCCCCCTCCCCCCTCCCCGGGAAATTTGAAAAAGTGCAAATAAAAAATGTATAGCAAATACTGACCAAAGACTGCAACACGCTCTGGGGGGGGACAAGAGTGCAGCTTTTAGACTAAAACAAATTCAAAAATCTTCTCGCTCGGTCGCTACGCTCCTTCGCATAATATCCTTCAAAATGTACAAGTAAATAGTGTATAAAATCTGTATTTCGTTGGTATCACGCCAGCACAGTCTGCACTGTGTGTTTCCCTACTAAATCTTTACAACCCTTGGACTGCACACTAATACCTGCAAAGTAAAAGGGAAGTGTGAAAAAGTAAATTGCTTGTTTTTTATACTAAAGTTTTGCTAAGGAATGTAATTTTTAATACAACAACACTTCAAAAACCTGTGAGGGTGTAGTCACTTCCGTCACCTTCGCCACTGTTCGTCACTATGCTCCCTCGTCTATCGCATTTTGCATATGTTTCAGCTCTACCCCCCCCCCCCCCCCCTCATCACAAAAATCCTGCACTCGCACATGACTGACAGTGGAGACCTTATTACTATTGTAATGCATTTGTAAGCCATATCCCCGGCCCCCACTCAGTGTTATTTAGGGTACGCATATGCATGTTCCAACCGACCCCCCCCCCCCTTTTCAGCAAAAGTCCGGTGTGTAAAGTCAATACGGGTCGACCTTTTTCTTTTGTTACGAAAGGACATTTTGGCAACACGCATGGGGTCCGTCCGTTCTCGGAGTGGGGGGCCGGGGCCATATCTCACAGGTCAATGCGTATAGTCAACAAATAACAAATAACGAATCCGGTGTGCCCTTCTGGTTCTGATTGATTGGTTCTATTTTCCGCCATTCGTCCTTCAACTTTACGGAGTATCTAGGCTATCGCACTATCTTCGAATACACCACAAAATCTACCAAACAATGTCCTCCGCCCACATATGCGAGTCGAGTTATATGGAAAATGGCTCAACCCTTAAACAATTGCGACACATTTCGGTAGTGTTTGACGTCAGAAATATTATGCCAAAAGTATAAGAAAATCGTACCTCCAGAAAGTGGATAAATTATTAAATGTCGTCTAAGCTGGCCACCAGAAGGCTTACATAAAAATAGCCATTAATCAGGAAATATCCACCCTAACTTAAAATGTGTTATGGCCTTAAGAACTCCCAGAATTCCAAATGCCGCCAATCTTCTTAAAAGTAAGTGGCTATTTACAAATAAATGTACTTATCAACACTAAATGTATATTTTGTTATATTCTTGCTATCCTAGATGGCCGCCGTGAATTAACTTTAGGGCCTTAAATCAGGTAATATTCATTCTAAAGATGTAATATACAGGATTTAGGGGTCGATAAATCCATTAAGCAGACTCTAAATGTGTTTTGGCAGTCAGGAAATCTGGCAATCCAAGATGGCGTCCAAAATGGCTGCCAAATTTCTAATATGACCAGATTTGGGTTAGAATCTATATTATTGAACATGTTATTGTTAATTTGATAGTGTATTTGAGTAGTATAAGGATATTCGATCGTATATGAAGAAGTATCAGTACGTATCGTTGTAGCCATATGTACTATCCTATAGGCTACCAGGTTTCGGCATCTATACAAATAAGAAGTGTCGATAATTTTATCTGCAAGACGGCAGGTCAGATGAACGTCACCTTACCATCCAATATGGCCTGCACCATCTAACATTATTAGTGAATCGTGATCCCTCCACACCAAGTCTTTGGTGTTCGCGGTTGGGGGCGGAGGTGGAAGTAAATCCACTAAATTGAATAGTAATAAATTGTCCATTAGCAGACAAGAATCATAGAGATCTGACAATGAGTTCCTATTCTCATTAGACTTTTTGATATACAGTGCGTCCCAGAAAGAAAAAAAATAACCGAGGATTATGGATGTTTTATCATAACTTAGTCACAATTATAATTAATAAATGACACATATTTGTAAAGCTCAGATCCTCCTCTTTCATTCGATGTTACTCATATGATGAATACTTCACTCATGAGTGATTAAAAATAATTTGAAGAGAGGAAACCAAAACAATATTTGGCGCGCGGTATCTGAATTTCAAAGAGAAAATCGAATTTCTAGAAAGTTCAATTTCTGCCCTTTAATATGACACCTCAATTAGAAAAAATGAGCCAGGACTAAAAAGTTCTATTTGCTTAAAGCAATGCTTGCATTTCCATAATTTTATTAAACGAGTTAATTTTCACTGGATGCCTGCCGTAGCAACAAACAAAGTTGACACCGCTCTTACCTTCGTAACTCCCCCTAATGCCAATGTTCAATGTGATTTGAGATGAAGGAAAACATGTTGTTTAGTTCTCTTTGCACAAAATC